TGAGTCCACGTGTTGGAGAAAATAGAGGTATCTGGAAGTCAGCAGCTATAAAAATGGTTTACGTGGATTCAGAGAGTATCTGGCTGTGAGTCACTTGGTGTCCCAGCCTTCAGCCTGGCAGAGCTCCTGCTGCAGCACCGAGGATTTTGCCTGACAGCGCAGTGTTACTGGTCACTCCCTGTTGCAGAGCTGTTCCCCTGTTTCATTATTTATTGAGGTGCGGGGAAACAACCCCAAACCATCACCACCGGCAAAAAATCCCCAACCCTTTAACAGCTGGGATCCAGGTATCTGTGGCTCCGCTGAATTGATAGGATGCCCAGGAGAGAACCTGCTCCCAGGTCAGGCGTGCATAAACCACCGGTGAAACAGCAAGGCAAATCCTTTTCAGAACAGGAGGAAGGGGCTGAATTAAGTGTTTCCTGCCCCCTGGCAAACCTCCTGCCAACAAGCCCTCAGTCTCGGTCACTGTTACAGCTCAAAGGCCAAACTAGACCTCTGCAGAGCTCATCGCCAGCCCCTTGGTGTTTCTTTCGCGTGTGCTGGACTCGCCCGCCGTTCCCGATGGGAGTTCCCGTGCCGCGTCTCGCCCTCTCTCCAGTGTTCATGGAGTAAGTGTCCGACAGCGCCAGCCCCTTGTTCTCACGCCAGCCGGCGTGTCCCCAGCAGGAGTGTGCCCCGTGCGCCGCCCTGCAAGGAGAGATGCTGGAAGTGTTGGTTTTAGTGGGGAGCCTGGGCCTCTTCCTGGGATGGGAGGCCTAAACCAGCCTCAGCCTTTGAGGGCCTTCCTCTTCTCCTCCTCCTCCAAGCTTCAGCCCCCGTCAGTGCAGAGAGGAGGAGAAGCAGAAGTGACATATCTCGGGTAAGTCAGGCACAAAGGCAGCGTGGAGCAGGGTTGGGGCCGGTGGCCATCTGCGCCCTGCCCGTTGGGTGAGCTACCCCACGCAGTCCCAGCGCGGGGAGACATCGCCTCGCCCCACGCAGTCCCAGCTTCCTTCCCAAACTCCTCTGGACCCTTTCTGGGGACTTTGAAGGCCCAGCCATGAGTGATTGGATCCCGTATGGGTTTAGGGGCAGATGGACCAGTCGTGCCTGCTTTATTTTAACTCGGGCTTCACTGGGATGTGCAGGAAAAGGAAGTCCCGTACCGGTTTGGCAGGCGAGGAGCTGTGGACTGTCAGACGCCTTCTTGGGAGGGTCACACTCCCCACCACGTCGAGTTGGGGCCTTAGAGCTGTATTTATCAGGGCTGTACTCGCTAGGGATCGTAGTACTTGCTGCTGCACATCTGGGAGCGGGCTCGGGCGCTCCAGGAAAATGAGGTCCATCCATCCAAACCCAGAGCATCACTGGGACTGGGGAGGGGGAAGATGGGAAATCCTGAGCATGGCAGAACCCGGGCTTACGCTGCGTCTGGCTGTAGGTGCTTCTGCACTGTCCCCTCTTGGGAGCAGGCTGCTCCCCTTCTCCCTCCTCGGCCCCACGGCTGGGGGAGGGCAAATTTGGTGCCTGGTTGGTAAAATCCCGTCCTCCCGTTGCACAGGCGGCGGGTCGGCCCGCGCTCGAACAAGCAGGAGTTGCTCACAGGGTTTGAGCAGAAGGAATAAATCCTCAGAGGTGAAATCCTGGCTGGTCAGGTTTTCTGACGTGGCTCTGACCAACGTGTGGCAAGGTCGGCGCGAACGGGCACGCTGACACCGCACTTCAGGGTGTGTTTTTGGGGGTCCCAGGCTTGGGCGCCGGCTGCGGCGTGCCGGCGCTCAGCTGCAGAGAGTGTAGCGGTGGCGTCTGCCTGGGGCAGCAGCAACACTTGTGGGGAGGGACGGCAGTTTCTCATCACTCCAGTCTTAGAAAGCTTCCCGGGTCCGCCATTCCTTTATTCGTTTCTGGATTTCACATCAGGTGACAAAAGCAGGAACGGTGGTTGAAAGCAGGTCAGGATTAGGACCGGTCGTTCCCCAAGGACGGGGTGTCTCACGGTGCGTGTGCAGGATGGCTCACACGTTATCGCATGCAGTAGCCGGGGAGGAGGGAACACGGCTTTGCAGAGACGCCTTCTTCCCGGGAACGGGGTGTGAGTAATTTATTTTAGATTAATTTTTCTTCGCTCGGTCTCCGGGTGACTCCCTAACTGAATTATGAATGGCTGAAGACCGTGTTCAAGTTATTGTCGCCTGTCTTTCCCCGAGGGCTTTCCCCTCTTTCATTCTCTGTGTTGCGTTCTGGAGATCAGCGGAAATAAGCCCGACTTTCCCATTTCCGCCCTTGGAGAACGCTACGGGTCTGGGTGTTTGCGCCACCACCCCGAGCCTGCCCGTCTCTGCTTTCCCTGTAAGGGAGTTGTCCCCTGGCTCTCGGGTGTTTACCGGGTTTGGCACGGCTGTGTGCGTCTGTTAGCTGCTTGGAGTTCACATTTCCAGGGAATAAAGGATGGGGTGTTTTTTTTCTGGATAAGATGCCACTTTTTACAGGTTTTGGCCGAGGTGTAATTCTGGCTGTCGCAGGGTGACACTAAAATGAATTAAACCCTTACTGATGTTCATCGCCTGGGTGTTTTCTGTACAACTGCCATGCAGCAAACCCCCGGGGCCGGGCCGGACCTCACCCACAACGCACCGTGCCCAGGGCTCCGTGCTGCCCGTCTCCGTGCGCTTCTCCTACGCCTTCTCACTTCTCTGGCTTTCCCACCCTCTGCCACTCCAGCAAGCAATGTCTGCGTTCGCAGCGGCTCCCCGCACCATGCAGAGCTGACCTCGCCCCCCGAAATAATGGGATCATTTCTGATGACTTTAACTGCTGGGGAGATTTCCGAGAGATCCTAATTTTTCCTTTGGAATTAAGAGGTAGCGCCTTTTTTTCAACACGATGCATGACGTTGGAGGAGTCTCTCTCACTCGGAGAATTAATGACTCACTCGCTTTTCTCCAGCCGCTCTGCCGGTCCTGCCCCCTCCACCCTTGGGCAGGAGCAGCCCACGCCGGGCGACGCGGGTGTTTATTTCTTTCACCAGATGTACAGCCGCGGCTCGGAGCGTCTGAGTG